CTTTCTTTCTTTCTTTCTTTCTTTCTTTCTTTCTTTCTTTCTTTCTTCCTTTCTTTCTTTCTTTCTTTCTTCCTTTCTTTCTTCCTCCCCCCCATTTTGTTGTCCTTGCCTGAGGAGGCAGATCCAAAACAATATTGCTAAGATCTAAGTCAAAGATCTGACTGCCTATGCTTTCTTCTAGGAGTTTTATGGTTTCAGGTCTTACATTCTTACATTCAAGTGTTTGAAACCAATTTGAACTCAGCTTTGTATATGCTGTAAGATAGTGTGGCCCAATTCATTCTTTCACATATAGCTGTGCAATATTCCCAACATTATTTATTGAGGAGACTCTCTTTTCTCCCCCGTTCTGTATTCTTGCCTCCTTTGTCATAGCTTAATTGACCATATGAGCATGATTTATTTCTCAGCTCTCTATTCTGGTCCATTGAGCTATGTGTCTGTTTTTGTGGGAGAATCATAGTTTTGGTGTCATATTTTACATATTTTTATTTTGCATACCCTTAACTAATCATTTTAGATGTAGATTATTTTACTACTTTTGTCCTTTAGCCTTCATACTAGCTATAGGTGCTTGATCCACTGCCTTTTACTTTATGTTTCCATTTACCAGTGAGAGTTTTCTTTCATAATTTTTTTGTATCTAGTTGTGGCCTTTTCTTTTCCATTTGAAGAAATCCCTTAACATTCCTTACAGGGCCAATTTACTGATAATGAACTTCTTTTACAGTTGCTTATCTGGGAAACTCTTTTCTCTCCCTCAGTTATGAATGATAACTTTGCTAGGTAGAGTAGTCTTGCTTTTTTTTTTTTCTTTCAGCACCTTTAATATATCATGCCACTCCCTTCTGGCCTGTAAATTTTATGCTGAAAAATCAGCTGATAGTCTTATGGGGTTCTCTTGCCTGTAACTAGTTGATTTTCTCTTGCTTCTTTTAAGATTTATTTTATCTTTAACTTTTAGACATTTTAATTATGTCTTGGTGTGGGTCTCTTCTAGTTCATCTTGCTTGGGACTCTTTGTGCTTCCTGGTCTTGGATGTCTGTTTTCTTCACCAGGTTAGGGAAGTTTTCTGCTATTATTTCTTCAAATAAGCTTTCTGTCCCTTTCCCTCACTCCTCCTTCTCAGACTCCTATAATATGAATGTTACTACAATATAATGTTGTTCCCAAAGTTTGTTAAACTCTCCTCATTTTAAAAATTATTTTTTCTTTTTGCTGTTCCAATTGTATGGTTTCCATTGCTATGTCTTTCAGATTACTGATCTCTTCTTCTCTGTCATCTAATCTGATGTTGATTCCATCTAGTGTATTTTTTACTTCAGTTATTGTATTCTTCCCGATTTGTTCTTTTATATATTTTCTATCTCTTTGTTGAAATTCTCACTGTGTTCACCCTTTCATACTCTATGATCATTACTCTATGACCATTATTTTGAACTCCTTATCAGTAGATTACATATCTCCATTTTGTTCAATTATTCTTTTGAGGTTTAGTCATGTTCTTTCGTTGGAACATATTCCTGTGTCTCCTCATTTTTTCTAACTCTCTGTTTGTTTCTATATATTAGATAGATCACCTACATCTCCCAGTCTTGAAGAGGTGGCTTTATGTAGAAGAATTCCTATGGGGACCAGAGAGCAATCACTTCTGGTCACCAAAGCCAGGCACTCTAGAGGTGTACCCTGCATGGGCCTTCCTGTTGTGGTGGTTCTATGACAGTTGTGGGTGTGCTGGTAGGTGGGACTAGCCTCCAATCTAGCTGAAAGTGAAGCTTAGCAACAGCTGCTGTAGGTGTACTGGTGGGTAGAGCTGGCTCTGGGGAGCTGACTCAGGGTGCAGCTGCAACACTGAAAGCACACTTCTGGACAGCACTGACCCCTGGAATATCAGACTTAGAATTCACACCCACCACCACATTCCTCCTCTACCAGGGACAGAGCTGGTTTTGAGTCAGCCCCCCAGAACAGGGAGACAGTCAACAATTTGCTTGCTTCAATCACCCAGTCCCCTTGAAAGAGACAATATTTTTCAGAAGAGAAAAAGGACCCAGCGATTTGCTGCTCCCCTCCCTAATTCCTGATCACAGGGTTCTACATCACACTTACAGCTCAGAAAAGCCTGAGTCAAGCACAGCAAGTGAGCAGTCTTCACTAACAGAGACCAGGAGGGGAGCATTAAGAGAGAAGAAGGTTGAGAAAGGTAAAGCCCATGGGTCTCAAGACAAAACCTGACTGGGCAATTCCCAAAGCCCATTCTAAAATGATCAGAGAAGGTGGCTTGATCCCCACTGTGGGTTAAAGTCTGGCTACCACTCAAGTCTACAGTACAAGTTCCAAGGAAAGATAAAGGAAATGGAGGGAAGCCAGGGTTGAATGCCGTCCTGGCAACTAACCATCCCATCTGGTCCCTCCCTGTAGCTTTGGCAAAAAGCCAGAAACACAGGCTTTCCAACCACACAGCCCTACAAGCCCACAGTATTAATCATTTTGGGTGTCGAGCAGGAACAAGACCATATTTTAGCCATTTGCAGTCAGAGACCATACAACCCCAAAAATGGACTATAGTCTTAAGAGATCTTTCACATTCCAAAACCTCAGCTACAACAGTGCCTGCTTTAAGGAGGTACCCAATCAGCTAATGCTATGTCAACACAAGGATCCCCCCTCATTCTTCCTATTCATACCCACCAGGCCCTTGATGACAAAGAACAGAACCTGTGCGGGGAGAACACCAGCCCAATGACACACTGGGAGTGCACAGCTGAGCTGAGGGCACAGCTTGCACTCTTGGTGTCCACAAGGGAGACAGTCCCATTCTCATCACCTGAAGGAAAGAGAGAGTACATCACAGAGGTTACAAGCAAGAGCTTTGGACTCAGCCAGATCTGGATTTGAATGCCCTCCATCATGAACAAGTTAACCACTCTGAGCATCAGTTTCCACTTTGGTAAAGTAGGAATAACTGGTCATTTGGGGGTTGTGGAAATTAAATTAATGGATGACATAATTGTTATCACAAACTATGTCACCATATATCCAGCCATATCACCATGTTAATACAACTGTCCCTACTATACAACCATATTCCCTATGTAACAATCCACTTGCTTTCTGGCCCACTGACTTCTAGCCATGAATACAAAAGCCACAGCAAACAGTCAGGAATCAAATCTACTAGGACAAAAATCATCATGTTCTCCAAAGCTAAACTAAAACCACTTTTGGATCATCCTACACCCCCATTAATATAATTCACCTTGCGCCCAGGTGTGCTGATGAGACTGAGCAGCCAGAGTCTCGAATTATGGGGTCAGCTCTCTGGCTCATCCTCCCCTTCCCAGAGTCAACACACAGTTTGACATGCTGCCTTACCAAAGACAAAGACTTCACTCTGCTGAGGATGCCAAGCCAGGGAGGCGGGAAGGTAGCCAGAGGCACTGCAGCCTGCAAAGGGGAGAAGAGGGGTCTGGAACAAGACTCCGAGCCCAGCTCTGAGCTGAAGCTTCCCAGGTGAAGTCAGTTGAAATCCCAGGAGCACTTTTATTCAGTTTCCCAAGCCCTGCTAAGGCAGTCCTGTCCTCCTCCTTGACCCTCACAACCTACATCTACCCATCAGCCTCTTGCCCTTTCCAGACGTGAGTCACGGGCAAGTTTCAAAACAAAGCGTGAAGATAACAGCTCTGACCCCTTTGTTCGCCCATCCAGGAAATGTAAGTGACCCACCCAGTAACTAGCTCTTCCTCTTGGGACCCACTGCATGAAATGGGGTCAGCAGAACTTTAGTGAGAAGAAAACAATTTTGTCACTTGTGTCAAAGTGACTGGGCATCTGGCACCTTCACCTTTGACTCTAGCCAAGGAAAGCCTCTTCCAGGTGGATTCCTAGTACCATCTAAAAACAAAACAGCCAAGGCTAGGACTGATAAAGAAAGAGCATGCACTCACCTCGGTATGAATTCAGAACCATTTGCTGAGCAAGGTCCCAAACCTTGATGCTAAGAAGCAAAAGGAAGCAGAAACTTAATGTTGACCTACACTGTCTACATAAAAACATGTGTTCAAACAAGAAATTCCTTTAACAGACACATCTTATGTCTTTGTCTACTGGACAGCTGATATAGCCTGTTTTTACAGTAGATTGCAAAATCTCTAAGGAAACCTTATAGACATGTCATAATTAGTCACTGGGTTCTTATAATAAGTCCAAAACATTACTTAATGAGGCCAGTATGACACTAAAGACACACAAAGGAGGCCTAGAGACTCAGTGGGAGCAGGGACTCACCAGAAGTCTTTCCTACCACTGACAGCTTGTGTGCCAGAGCTCAGCACACTGACTGTAGACATGATGTCATAATGCTTATACTTGCAGAACTTGCTGACAATGAGTGTCTCATTCTCATCCAGCTCCCACAATTCAACAGCACCTGTTGGGAGTGGGGAAGAGGGTGAGGAAAACAAGCTTGGATTATGCCAAGACAGCAATTCACTTCTAGGATTCAAGTAGTCCATTGTCAATAAACTAACAAATTAAGTTATTCCTATAAAAGCAAAGTCTGCATCTTTAGAAGGTTTAACTAACTCTCAAGCCATTTGACTTTGTTCTGGCATTACTGATGTCCTACTAACAGTCCAGAAAATTAGGTGGGGAAAGCTTCTAGAAAAAGACAGAGAAAGATGGAATGGCTAGTAAAATCCATTATCCTGCTTCCAGTAAGAAAACATTGCAAACAAAGATGAATCTCCACAATGATCTGCGTAGCATACAGTCCAGTAGGGTTAAATCTTCTCTGTTATTTGGACACTAATAAATATTTGTTGAACAATTTGAATAAATGTCTTACAGAGTCATAAAAAATATGTTGAATAATTCAGTGTCTTCTCAGTGACTGGCTAAGTTCAAAAACCCTACACATAGCTGTCCTGAATAAGTAGTGTTCAAGCTCAACTGCCAGAGAGGCTCAACCTTTAATGTCCCACTTCTACCTTCCATGCAATGTCTGCCAACACCCAAATGATGTTTTTTTTTTTAAATTCCAGAGTCTCCATTGCTGAGCCTGACATTCAAAACAAAGAAAGCAAAATGGGAAGAAACGGAAAGATACAGGTAGTACGGATTGGACATTCTTTTCTCTGAGGTGCCCATTCAAATTTTTACCCATTTTTAAAATTAGGTTCTATTTCTTACTGTTAAATGTTACTTCTCTCTCCCTCCCCCCGCCCCCACCCCCGCCCCACGTATAGATAATTTTTCTGATATGATTCCCCAACCATCCTAAAAACTCTACTGTTACTCTCCCAGAGATTCTCTCAAACATTATGACCATACACCCCTACCAACGTGAAAATCAACAGTGATAAACACTATCATTAAATCCACAGACCCTATTCAAATTTGGCAATTGTCACAACAACACATCTTTCTTATCTCATTCAGGAATACGTGTTGCATTAGATTTTCATGTTTCCTCAATATCCCTCAGTCTGAAGTAATTCCTCAGCCTTTTTATGCCCCTCATATCCTTGGTACACATACAGTCACTTTGTTTTTGCTAGTTCACACTCTCCTGGGCTCCTGGCCCTGGAGGTGCATGTTCCCACCCAACGTGGCTCCGGGACAGCTCCGGGGCAGCTCCGCTTGCCGCGCATGTGTACTAGGAGCCACTCCCCTCAAGGAGCAACAGAGCTGGAGCTGCCGGCCAGCTTCTGTTTCCTAGGCAACGCAATACACAAACGCTGGTCTTAGTGGCACTGGCACAATGTGCTTCAACAAAACAGGTGAGGAGGGATGAGTCAAGAGTAGAGGCAGGAGGAAGAGTGGGGAGACTGGGAAAGAGGGGGAAAGGAGGGAAATTTGTTCACCCCCGTCCTTGGACTGGTCACTGTTTTGTTCAGAGTACTGTCTGCCCAGGTCTCTGCTCCCCCTCCCCACACCCCACCTGCCTCCAGGCTCTCACTTAGACCATGGGGCCTTCCCTCATGTGGAGTTTCTCCTCTTTCTTGCTCTCCAGAGACGCTGGTTAACTGCTCCTTTGGAACATGTCAACAGAGGAAGCTCTTTCCTCACTTCCACCCCCCCAAACTTGTTGGGGAACAAGTTTCTCCCTCTTAGGGGAGTGCCCCACAGAGGGCCTGGATGTTACATAGCAGAAGATGTGAGTATTCACTTTCCTTTAAGTAGATCTCAGTTTCCAGACTATCTAAGGGTGCTTGAGTTTCCTGGAAGAAAAGCCCTGTGAGATTTGTGACCTTCAGGGTCCCAACATGAGAAAGTGACCTGGTCCTCTGCAACCAGCTGTCAGGGCCAATATCAGAAATTGCATTGCTTGCATTGCTCCCCTTTGAATCCCCACCAAATGCAAGCCTTGGCCTTATGCGGCCCCCAGTATAGTTCCCACACCATTCCCACCTACAAAGGAATCAATAGCTCCCCTTAATCCAAACCTGGACTGTGGCTGTGCTGGTAGGTCAGTTTATGAAATCATATAATCAGACTGACAATTGCATGAGAGCAGATTCAGCTCTGTGGGCCTTAGAAAACTGGATTCACTGGAATGCATAGAAATGTCATTCACTCTACCTATCCAGCCACATTCCTTTGTAGAGTTGCCTGGGTTACTTATGTAATTGCTTGTATGGTCTTGATGCAGAGGAATCAAGAAAGAAAGAGCAACTGTGGCAGAGAAGATTCAGGAATACTCTAAGTTCATTCTGTTTTAATAACTATAATGTTCTCTATGTATGTTTTTTCTTTGTT